ATCACATGCAAAAATTAACTCCAAATGGATCAAAGACCTAAATGTGAGACCTAAAACTATAAAGGAGTTGTATCTAGAATATACACAGAACTCTTGCAACTCAACAATAAAAAGATAATTAGCTTAGTTTAAAAATGGGTAAGGCACACAAAAACCTGCACCCAGATGTCTATAACAGCTATATTCAAAACTGCCAAGACTTGGAAGCAACCAAGATGTCTTTTGTAGGTGAATGGATAAATAAACTGTGATACATCAGACAATGGAACATTATTTAGTGCCAAGAGGAAATGAGCTGTCAAGCCATTAAAAAAAAAAAGAAAAGAAAAGGAGGAACTCTAAATGCTTATATTACTAAGTGAAAGAAGCCGATCTGAAAAGGTTACATACTGTATGATTCCAATTACATGACATTCTGGAAAAGGCAAAACTATGAAAACAGTAAAAAAAAAAAATCAGTGGTTGCCAGGGGTTGGGGGGAGGGAGGGATGAATAGATTTGAATAGGGAGGGAACACAGATTTTTAGGGCAGTGAAACTACTCCGTGATCCTATAATGGTAGACATATGTCATTATACATTTGACAAAACTCAGAAAATGCACAACACCAACAGTGAACCCTAATGTAAACTACGGACTTAGGGTAATAATGACATATCAATGTAGATTCTTCAGTTGTAACTAATGTACTACTCTGATACCAGATTTTGGTACTGAGGGAGGCTGTGCCTATGTGGGGCAGGGAGTATGTGGAAAAGTTGTGTACTTTCTGCTCAATTTTGCTGTGAACTTAAAACTGCTCTAAAAAATAAAGTCTGTTTAAAAGGAAAAGAAATAGCTAAGGGATCTGAATAGACATTTCTCCAAAAAGCTCTACAAATGGTCTACAAGCATATGAAAGATACTCAGCATCATTAATCATTAGGAAATTACAAATCAAAACCACAGTGAGATATCATGGAATGCCCACAAGAATGGCTGTAACAAAAGACAGACATGTATGAATGGATAATCAAAATGTGATATATACATACAATGGAATATTATTCGGTCTTAAAAAGGAAAGAAATCCTGTCACATGCTATAACATGGACAAAACTTGAGGACATTATGCTAGGTGAAATAAGTCAATCACAAAAAGACAAATACTGTATGATTCTACTCATATGATGTATCTAAAGTAGTCAAATTCATAAAAACAGTAGAATAGTCGTTGCTAGGGGATAGGGGGTGGGGGAAACGGGAACTGTTATTTAATAGATATAGAGTTTCAGATTTTGCAAGATGAAAAGGTTCTGGAGAGCTGTTTCACAACAATGTGAATATACTTACGAATGAACTTACACTTAAACATGATTAAGTTGGTACACTTTATGGGGTTTTTTATCATATGCTTCTTTATCATGATTAAAAAGAAAACACAACTTTTAAAGACTGACAATAACAGTGTCGGCAAGGATGTGAAGAAACTGGAACTCTCATACATCGCTGGAGGGAATGTAAAATGGTGCAGTCCTTCTGGAAAACAACTTGGCAGGGAGTTCCTTAAAAAGGTTAAACACAAAGTCCTCTATGATCCAGAAATTCCATTCCTAGGTATATACCCAAGAGAAATGAAAGCATATGTCCACACAAAAACGTGTACATATATGTTCATAGTAGCATTATTCATAATAGCCAAAAAGTGGAAAAAACCCAAATATCCATCAACTAGTGAATGGATATTTAAAATGTGGTATGTGTGAGCACAGTGGTGCATCTGGGCCAGAGGTCAGTGGATCAAAATACAATGTAGAATATTCATACGATGGAATATTATTCAGCCATAAAAAGGAACGAAGTCCTGATGAATGCTACACATGGATGAATCTTGAAAACATGCAAATCAAAAAAAAAGCCAGACACAAGGGCTTCCCTGGTGGTGCGGTGGTTAAGAATCCACCTGCCAATGCAGGGGACATGGGTTTGATCCCTGGTCCAGGAAGATCCCACATGCCGCAGAGCAACTAAGCCTGTGTGGCACAACTACTGAGCCTGCGCTCTAGCGCCCGTGAGCCACAACTACTGAGCCCACATGCCACAACTACTGAAACCCGCGTGCCTAGAGCCTGTGCTCCACAACAAGAGAAGCCACGACAATGAGAAGCCTGCGCACCTCAATGAAGAGTAGCCCCCGCTCGCTGCAACTAAAGAAAGCCCACGTGCAACAATGAAGACCCAACACAGCCAAAAATAAATAAATAAATAAAATTTTTAAAGAAAGCCAGACACAAAAGACCACATATTGTATGATTCCATTTATATGACATGCCCAGAATAGGTACATCTATAGAGACAGCAAATTAGTGGTTGGCAGGGGCTGGACAGGAGGGAGGAATGGGGAATTACTAATAGTAAGTATGGGGTTTCTTTTTGAGATGATGAAAATATTCTGAAATTAGATAGTACTGATGGTTTCACATTTTGTAAATATACTAAAATGCCCTGAATTATAAACTTTAAAAAGGTGAATTTTATAGTATGTGAATTATATCTCAATTTTTTTAAGGTTAAAAAAAAAGAAATATATCTAGAACACATATACAGGGAGAGTCAACAGGCAGATAATATCCTTGAATGTGACTTCATTTGTAACCCATAGACTGGTAAGACTGAATAAGCTCAGGGTACATATTCTAATATTATTATCTCCATTTTCTTAAATCATAAAAATACTAAACACTAAAATGTTCAAGTTTACCTGGCAAAAAAGAGAAAATTATCCGTAATCTTACCATGAAATAGAACAACTATTTCTTTTTCTCCCATATCTCTGATCTGTGATGACTTTTTCGCAAACATGACTAAAATAGGAATGACTAAACATGAGTAAAATAAAGATGTTAAGGTCTCTATCTTAATCAAGAAACAAGCCTCCAACTTTAGGAATTCCTACTTGGGAGAAATTCGCTATATGAAATTCAAATTTCTAAGACATATGTAAAGCAAATATGTAACCAATTATTGGCACAAATACCCAAATTTTGCTGAGTGAGTGCTCCTCATATAACTGCACAATCTCCCCTGCTGTTTCTTAGACTCTGCAGATGAGGTCTCTGCCCACCTTCCTCATTGATGCCTATAAACTACCTGAGGCTGGTTTCTCAAGATGTGGCCCCTTAGTGGTTCCCTCCCTGAAAATGCTGCCCCCCCTATGGGTTTGGGGACATCGGTGCTGAAGGGAGTGTGATATCGGCCAAACCACTTGCCCTCTGTGAGCCTCAGTTTCCTCATTTATAAAATAGGGATGATAGGAGCTTCCCTGGTGGCACAGTGGATAAGAATCCGCCTGCCAATGCAGGGGACATGGGTTCGAGCCCTAGTCTAGGAAGATCCCACGTGCCACGGACCAACTAAGCCCATGCACCACAACTACTGAGCCTGCGCTCTAGTGGCTGAAAGCCACAACTACTGAAGCCTGCGAGCCACAACTACTGAGCCCACGTGCCTAGAGCCCGTGCTCCACAAGAGAAGCCACCGCAATGAGAAGCCCACACACCGCAACGAAGACACAACACAGCCACAAATAAAAATAAATAAAATAAATTAATTTAAAAAATAGGGATGGTAATACCACTTCACAGGATTTTAGTGAGAATTACATTAACCAATGTCTGTAATGTGCTTGGTTCAGTAAACAAAGGCTGTTATTATTATGATCCAAGGATGCATTTAAAAAAGTCACTTCCAGGGAATTCCCTGGCGGTCCAGTGGTTAGGACTCTGCGCTTTCACTGCTGAGGGCCCAGGTTCAATCCCTGGTCAGTGAACTAAGATCCCACGAGCCATGCGGTGCAGCCAAAAAAAAAAAAAAAGTCACTTCCAAACCCTGCACCCACACCTTCCTTATTTATCTACACAGTGAGCCCAGAAGGCAATTGCCAGTTTCAGATGACCATCTACATGGTACTCTATGGATGAGGCCAAGAGACAACCCAAGTGTCTAGTAGATAATAGGACCCAGGAAGCATCTCCTAAGTAAATGAATGAAAGGAGCCTCAAATTCCTTTGCTTACACTAAAGGGTTTGGGGTTTTTTTTCCCTTTTTCCTGATTATAAAAGTAACAGATGAAAAAAATTATTCATTATTTTAAAACTATATATATACAACAGCACAGCAAATTGAAAAGTAAAGAGAAACTTTAAAAGGCACTCATATTCCTACCACCCAAGGGGCAATCTAACATGTTTTGTCATGTTTCTTTTTCATTATTTTTACAGTGTTGAGCTAATTTTATACTTTATATAATTTTATATCCTGCATTTTTTCACTTAGTACATTATAAGCATTTCATTTAATGTTTTATAAATAACTTCAGTGTTTGAATACTATTTTATTATATGGGAACTACCAATTTCCCCATCATTGGATTTTTAGGGTGTTTCCAATTTTCTATTGCAAATTAGATTTTCTGAGTGTCAGAAATATATTTATGTATATATGTATATTATGAGCTCAGAAAAGAATAGAAACGTGTGTATGTGAGTGGGTGCCTTTGGGCATGGGATTGTTGGGATGGGGCAAGGTTTGTGCTTTTATGTTACATACTTATTTACTGTTTAAATCATTTATAGCTAGCAGGGATGACTTTTGAAATTAAATGTTTATGAAAAGGAAGGAAGGAGGAGAGAAGAAAGGAGGGAGAGGGGGAGGGAGAAAGAAGGAAGGAAGGAAGGAAGGAAGGAAAGAAGGAAGGAAGGGAGGAAAGGAGGAAGGGAGGGAGGGAAGGAAAGAAAGAAGGAAAAAAATTCCTGTACCAATTCCATTTGTAAAGAGCCTGAAAGATCAAGAGCCGCAAGAAGTAACTAAGCAAAAAAAAAAAAAAAAGAAGTAACTTAGCAATATATCCCTTTATATATATTATAGGACAAAGACGCTTACAGACCTATAATTAAAAAGTAGATATGTTCTCTGAGCAAAAAAGGAAATAGCAAGCTGCAAAGAATCCCAGCCCAACTTACTGATTGATTTTGGATTCTGTGGTGTTTCCAGCTTTGTCTCTCAATTTGATTGTAATGGATCCTCTTCTTATGTTCTTGTTCCAAGTTATAATATCCACAAAGTAATGATATACTACAAAACAGGGAGAGAACATGGTAAGAGAAGAATATTACCAACTGCTTTCCTGAAGGTTCAATTCGTAAAAACCCAACCTCCCTAATACCTGAGTCTCCTTTTCTCTTCCTCTAGTTTTTCTGCAAAGATCCAGGGCAGAATTTTCTAATATTTTTTTCTATTCTCTTTGGTAAAGATGGCCTGAGTGATGGCAGAACTCAGTGGTATGCAGTTGCCATGTGTAGGCATCACTCTTGGATCAGTGTTTCCACCTTATCGACTGAAATCTCATGGCCTACTGCCAAGTATGATTGGTTCACTTCAATCCCTGCCCATTTTAGAATAAACCAAATAGGGGGCCATGTAGAGACCCTCCACAGCTGTCAAGGTGTTCCTCAATCTGGGCCATGTCCACCAGCCTACCCAGCCTCCCTCATCTCCTCCCCAGTCTTGCCACACCACCTGCACTGCCATGTTCTCTCTTGCTTCTGGGCCTTTCCCCAACTTGGACACTCTTACTTTGCCCCCTATGCCAATTCATCCTTCAGGTTCCAGCTGAATGCACTCCCTCCAGAAGGCCTTCACTGACCCTCAGACTAAGTCAGGTCTCTCTCAGAGTTCTTATCATGCTCTGGTATTCTTTCATCATTAGTTAACACACTTTACTCATTTACAAAATGCAAGAAAAATGATAACCAAAAAGTGGTAAACATATATGTACATCTGTACAAATATTGCCTGTATAATGTCTTATGGGGTTTTATAAAAAGCTAAAATATACTACAATGGCAACTAGGAAGGGATGGTTATTCCTCTTTGTAATCCCAGCAGTAATACCTATGGATATCCATTAATTCCTACTGAATAAACGAGAGCACATAACGTATCCAGAGAACTATTCTTCCTCCCTACTCCCTGCTCCCCAAGGTCAAGGACGCCCTGGGAAGATGGGGATCCCACCATGATAGTCAGATTTGCTATCTCTTGGTCAGACTTGCAGAGAAGGGGAAAGAGGCTCAGGGAAATGACAGTCCCACTAGGGAATAAGGTCAGCCATGGGGTTGCCATTTCATGGCCCATTATTACTCAGGGGCTTGCCCCATTTGGATTGGGCAGACACCAAACCCTGGGCTGCCACTCATGATTCCAAAGAAGGAGGGAAACCTGGTGATGTGCAACCTCTTTTATAAGGGTTGCTCCCAAGAAAAGTGAAAAGGGGGATAAGATTGTAAGATGTACATCTGCCCAGGAAAATCCCTACTTGCTTCCCGGGGCATCTGATCACCTGCTGCCCCATTTAGCTCCCGTCTTGAATACCCAACCTCTCAATGTCTTTAGAAGGTCATTGTTTTAGTTTTGGAGCTGGAACTGGCCCATAGATGTGGCTGACACCTGATTTTTCCTAACCACAATTTCACGTCTCTTGGGGCTCAAGCAAATTTTCTGGAAGATCTTAGTGATTAGAATGGCCATCCAGTGAAGCTAACAACTATGATTTGTTGAGCTTTTAATCCTTATAACTCAGAAGATAGGCATGATTATCCCCCTTTTACCAAGCAGGACATTGAGACTCAGAGAAGTTAAATGTCTTGGTCACACAGCTATTATGTAGGAGAGTCAGGATTCAACCTAGGTCCTTCCAACTCCAGAGTCCATGCTTCACCATGGCCTTCATCTGCCAAGAAGTAGCCAGGAAGCTGAGACTCAGCCATTCCGAAAATAAAAGAGTTGGGCAACGGCAAGCAAGCACAGTCACTCACCGCAGAAGGGTTTCTCCTCAGCTGTGTCAAAGAACGCTTTAGTCATAGGAGGATCCCGCTCCCTTAAATAGCCTTTCCAATTATCAGCATAGTAGCCTATAAGATAAGTCAGAGAAGTGTAACGTTATCATGCATTATATAAATGTAAAAGCAGTGGAGGAGATAGTGAGAGCAGGGGCTTTGACTGCCAGCACCGCCGAGACAATCCCCCACGTACCCGCTTGCCAAAGGACCCTCCAGTGGCTTTTCCCCCTATCTATTGACATTACATCACCAGCCCTGGTCCTCAGTAGCAGGGGTGGGATTGTGGGGAGTGACACACACTGGGTAGACTAAAAATAGCACTGATATTTTCCAGCAATTCATTTTCTAGATTATTTAAAACAGATTCAGGTTTATACCTAGAACAGCATCACTTTGGGAAAGCGATGTGCTTCCCTGAAGAACTGTGACTGGGCCCCTGAAGTGCAGAGAACTTGGAATTGCTGTGTTACTCTGTCAACAGGCAGGGAAACGTCCTCCTTCATGATGTGCCTACAGGAATGAGGCTGAGGGCCATCCCTGGGGCCTCTCTCTCTCCTCTGTCCCCACTGCTAGGGAGTGGCCTCCACATTCTGACTTAACTGATCTGGAGTGGAACCCAGGCATCAGTATTTTTTAAAAGCTCCATAGATGATTCAAATGCACAGTCAAGTCTGAGAACAAGGGGTTCTATAGCATGCCCTGATGTTAACTTGAGTCTTTCCTTTGGGTACAATTAGAGAATTCTCATGACCATCCAGTTGCAAAGTCTCCACCACCCAGAATATTTCCACTAATGCTTAGCAAATATCCAAGCAGTCTCCACGGTGTCTGTTACCCCAGCCCACCCCTGTATGTGTCCATGCACACAGCACCAGAGTGTGGCATGAGGGCATTTACAGACACAATTTGTTAGAGGGGTCGCTTTGCCAAACCCTCCCCCAGCAGAGAGGTTGTGTGCCTGGAGAGAGTGCTCCTGTCCCCACAGGAGCAGACTACGTAAGGTGACTGTGCCTGGGTGAGCTTGGAAAGTCTTCTGGAACCTTCTTTTTCTTGCTAGAATAAAGTATCCAGGGAGGTGGCACTACCTTCTGGATGAAATCCTATATGGATTGCCTTTCTAACATTCTTTATTATTAGGAGACCCCAGAGTACTTCACAGAACAAATTGGCTAGAAAAAACTAAGTAAATTTTTTAAAAACACAGGATTTTCAGGCCCATTTTTAGATGGTAAAATGGTGCTAGGATTCTACCAGAAATTAGCTCTTTGTTAATCAGAGTGGGAAACTGCTTGCTGCACTTACCCAGAAGTGGGCAGGACTCCGTCTGTGATATGCCACAGTTGACACACTTGCCATTCCTATAATCCCGGTAGGAGTCACAGGGATACGCGGTGATGGTGCAGTTCTCTCTCAGCGAAGAAAGGTACAGGTACACGGACCTCTGGTGGTCACACTTAAAATACTGCATTCCTGGGTTGTAAAAGGAATGATCAAAGAGTAGAGCAGTTGTAGCATTTAGTAATAAATAGTGCCTCGCATATTGTTTATACACATAATTTATCGTGTCTCCTACATACCAGGCACTGTGCTAACAGCTTCAATGTACTTGATTCCATTTAATCCTTATAAAACCAATAGATCAGGATTCATGCTGACAAATGGCAGGAGACAAGAAGATAGGCATGATTACCCCCATTTTACCTAGCAGGACACTGAGACTCAGAGAGGTTAAAGGACTTGACCTTGTCCTTCCTTTGTCAGTGAAAGGAAGAAGAAATGTCAGTGGTAGTCAGAGATCCACTGGAGGTTTTCAGCAGAAGGCAAGCACATTTAAACCAATCAATACATGAGAGAAAGACGGCATTGGGGAGCAATTTGTAGAGGAAGATCCCCAATGAGGGCAAGGAGAGGAGGTAGTTGTGAAAAAGGATGGGGCAATGCTTCCACCTTGGGTCAGATGGGGAAATGAATGTAAAGACCAACTTTGTGATCTAAGGTTAGGATAGATAAAATGGCTCCTTCGGGTGGGACCTTGATCTAGGTACAAAAGTCAAATCTAGCTTAGCTCTAAGAGGTGAGGGTTTATAGCTGGGGCGGTATTTGGAATAGAAGCATGAGGAGTGACCATAGGGAGTCCACAAGAGATGCGTATGAGGCTTTTCTGGCATTATTGGGGGCCATGGAGAAGTTAACAAGTTTGCCTGGACCTTGTACTTGATCAACAAGACTCCATGACTTCTCCAGAAGGTGCCCAAGCAAAGATGGGGGCTGACATGGCAGAGACCTAAGGGCCTGGGGGTGCACAGGGCATTCATGAGAGCAGACAAGTGGCAGGGGCTCCATTTCTGCTCCAAAGGTGAAGGGTGAAGTGAGAGGAGCTCAACAATAGGAGGTGGCACTGGAAGCTGTAAGTGGGCAAGAAGAGGTGAGACACAAGCCTCAAGTTAATTCTTGGTGGGTGCCATGTGATGTAATGGTGAGAGAGGAAGCTGTTGAGGCACAGAGGTGGCCATCAGAAGAGTTGGAGCTGATGAAGGACTTCAGTACAAAACATCAGAGAGGTTCATCAGGAGGCTGATGGGTCAGACGATGAAGTCATTCAGAAACAGGAACTGGGTCCCAAAGATGGTAATCAAAGGAGGTAAGGATCTCAATAGCAGACAGTGAACCCCATGGAAAGAGGAGTTGTGATTGTGAGCTAGTAGTTTGGAGAGGCACTGGGAGCTGGAGTCAGATCAATGTTTCTTCTTTCTCCGGAGTCCACATATGCCCATAGAAGAGATCAGTGGAGGACATAAAGAAATAAACTGGGTGACAGAGGAGAAGCATGGGGCCAAGCTGGACTGGAGTAAATCTGACAAGTCAACATTTAATTATTGTTTCTGGAACTTCCACTTGCAGAAACAATGAAGTTAATAATGCTACAGAGGATGTCCTTTGTAAGCAAAGCACATTATCTTTGGCTGCTCATGGATGTAGTTACATTACAGCACACAGGACAGGATTTGAATACACACCATTTACGGTACAATGTGATTGGCCCTACTTATGTCATTTCATCTGGATCATTTTCAAACACTACATCATTCCCATGGAGCCATATACAGCTACCATTTTGGAACAAGATCATCTTTTTCTAGAATTATTTCCATGATTGCTTAATTGTCTCTAACAATGGTGAAATACAGATTCAGAGCACTTGGCGGGGGGGGGTTGTTTTTTGTTTTTTGTTAATTTTTGGCTGCGTTGGGTTTTTGTTGCTGTGCACGGGCTTTCTCAAGTTGCGGCGAGCGGGGGCTACTCTTTGTTGCGGTGCGCGGGCTTCTCATTGCAGTGGCTTCTCTTGTTGCAGAGCCCGGGCTCTAGGCGCATGGACTTCAGCAGTTTTGGCACGCGAACTCAGTAGTTATGACACATGGGCTCAGTAGTTGTGGCTCACAGGCTTAGTTGCTCCGCAGCATGTGGGATCTTCCTGGACCAGGGCTCGAACCCGTGTCCCCTGCATTGGCAGGCGGATTCTTAACCACTGTGCCACCAGGGAAGCCCAGGGTGGGTTTTTTAAATTCTGTCCCCCACCACACTTTAATGTTGCCCTCCAACTACCCTTTTTTGTTTTGTGAGTTTTTTCTCGTTATAAAACTAATACATGCTCATTTAGAAAATAAAAAATAATAGCAAATTATGATGCAAAAATTACCTAGAAATCCAACATCCAGAGATCACCACTAATAATTATTTGGAGCACTTATGTTTAGTGTTTTTTTCTGCACTTACACATGTACAAATATACATTTAAAAAACAAATTGGGATTATACTGTATAATTTGTGTATTTTTCACTTAACATCACATTGTAAGCATTTTCATTAATCTGACAATATGGTTTTTAAGAATTACATTCCTTTGTGTAGGATGCACCATACTATTTAATAATTTTCCTATGTTGGACATTTAGATTATTTCTAAAAACTTAACTATTATAAACAATGCCATATTGAATATCTTCACTCTGATTTTTGTCTACATTTTCCATTATTTCTCTAGGAGAGATTTCCAAATGTGTAATTTCTAGGTCAAAGACACACCTTTTCAAGAGAGAGAGATAATTCAAAATCGCTTTTAATCATATGGTTATTTTTTTTAAGTAGTATATTTGAGTAATAATGTTTAATTTATAATTTATATACCACCTCTATCTTCTCAGGAAATTTGTTTTTGATTAAAAACGATTTCACATAGGATAATATCAGATTTTTAAAATACGCCTTTTTTAAACCACTATTTTACAAAATATAAAGTATCTGCACTTACCTCCAAATATTGTTTTGGGACAACCAGGTTGATCCAATCCTCCGTTTGGGTAGAAGTCTATGTTTCCTAATGGTTCCCTGTAGCCCAGTGCTAAAAGACAATATACTAGGCTTTTATACTGCTTTGAACTTTTCCCATCTCACAACTCATTTGCCTGTTTAGGATATAGGCAGAGATTGTCTCATTCTTGTCTTTGCTGCTGTTGTTGTCATTAAACCTATTTAAATATTTTGTCCAAAGTTAGCCAGATAGTTAGTTAGAAAGCAGTGATTTCCAAGTAGGAGACTATGAAGCTGGTAACAGAATTTACTTCCCATATTTCTGAAAATGTAAGAGAGTTTGGTCACTCATTCACTGCATGGCTGATAAAATGATATGTTTCATGTTTATATTTGGCTGGAACACTCATTGCTAGGTGCTTCCTGAGCCTCTAATTACATGTGTGTAAGTCTTTAATGAATAAGAAACAGGAAAAAATGAACCTTTACTTAGTAGGAGAAACCTTTAAAATTTGGGGATCTAGGATGGTTAAAAGATTGGAAACTCTTCTAGAAAATGGGGACCTAGAAAATTATAGATTTAATAATTGCTTATTCTCTTTAACCTTGTAACTCCAAAGTAATCAGTAAAATGCTTGATTAAAAGTTTATACAGGGGGGCTTCCCTGGTGGCACAGTGGTTGAGGGTCCGCCTGCTGATGCAGGGGACGCGGGTTCGAGCCCCGGTCCGGGAAGATCCCCCATGCCACGGAGAGGCTGGGCCCGTGAACCATGGCCGCTGAGCCTGCGCTTCCAGAGCCTGTGCTCCGCAGTGGGAGAGGCCACAACAGTGAGAGGCCCACGTACCACAAAAAAAAAAAAAAAAAAGATTATACAGGGACTTCCCTGGTGGTCCAGTGGTTAAGACTCCACGTTTCCACTGCAGGGGGCATTGGTTCAATCCCTAGTCAGGGAACTAAGATCCCACATGCCGCGTAGTGTGGCCAAAAAAAAAAAAAAAAAAAAAAATATATATATGTATGTATGTATATATATGTATAAACACATATATAGTGTATCATTGCAATAATGATAATAGCTATTATATGTTCAGGAAACTACATGTGTCTGTGGGTGTGACACTAGGGGTTTTACACAGATTTCTTCTAATTTTCACAATGTCTGAAAAGCAGCCATTGGTAAATTCAGATGAAGTAAGTTACAGATGAAGATTCTGGGGCTTGGAGGACTTATGGACCAAACATGATACCACCAGAAAGAACCAAACCTGGGATTTGAGTCCACCCCTGCCTTGACTGCAAAGCTTATATTTTTCCTTCAAAATTTGCCCTCTCCAAGAACAAAAAATAAATTACTCTATGCCGTCAAGCATTAAAATAACATTGAGGTACTGCACCTAAGTAAGGTAATACTTTGCAAACTGCATAGTAAGAACACAGCTATTTCACAGAGACACTTCTTCTAAGGCAAACAATTGCTGAATACCACACCAGAGTGCCCACAATAGGCAGTCAAGGGTGTTTCAGGTGGTTGTATCACAAAGGAGATGTACTATTAAATGTCCACTATGGTCTGTCCCCTCAGCCCTCCCCCAGGTTCCTACTCCAGCTCTTCTCCCAAACATCTGGATATAAAGACCCATCTGTAACATCAGCCCAACCCCCAAGCCATGTACACAATCCCAGAAATGAAATCAACACCATAAAAGATAGAAATAGCCAGGAAGATCCACAGAGAGCTAGAGACCTATAGGTGGTTCAGAAATGCTCTGTGTGGAGAGACACAACACTTAAACGTATCTTTCAGCTTAAGGAAATAATGACAAAGAACCAACAAAAACAGGGAATCACGCACCCAAACCCAGTTGTACTTATGGAAACATTTGTCCACATGGTATGCAAATCAGCCTGTCCTTGACTGGTCAAGATGATCACTTTAAAAATAACAGGAGACAATGGGAAATGCACCACTACTCCATCAGGAGATCCTGGGTGCCTGCATTAAAGCAGCTTCCCTTCAGTATTCTTGTGGATTTGGAAACTTGCCCGGTAGGAAAAGAGGGAATCTAGAGGAACCTGATCCACCCCTGCATGACAATCCCCCTAGCGGGAGACTCTTTGGGAGTCTGGGGGTGACGGTGTGGGTGGTCACTGACCCACAAGGAATGTTACCATCAATGTCAGAATGGATGACGTCAACGAACTGTGCATCACCGGGATCTAATCTGTCCTCTGGAGGTCTCCCATTGAATAAAGGGCCTGCAGGGTCCAGACCTGGAAGGAAAACAGAGTCGGCTTGGCAGCCCCTGCAGCCGGGCTTTGGATCCCTCCCCACGAAGATGGCTCACAGGCTTCGGGGAATCCTCGGGTGGGCAAGCACTCCCATTCCCATCCTGCTGTGTCAGGCTCCTTTCCACAGCCCTGTATAGCCTTTTCCCACACTAAAGGTGGTTACCCTCACAGTGCCCCCTGAGAACTCATCCGGACTCCATCTGGAGGTGTACTATACCTTGTGCAGGGCTCCACGGCAGGGAGTGCACAGACATATGGGGACCAGGGACTGGAATAAACTGGTTCCTCAGGAAAAAAGCATCTAAGAGTGCATATAAAAAGCAGACACTGTACTTATCTTTATCTCATTTTAAATAATCCAGAAACTTCACTCAACTTTTCTTTCTTGTTATTAAAAAAGCTCCTTTATTGTTTCCATTTTTATTCACATTTACTGGCTCACCTGGTCCACATCAAAAAGGAGGAAAGGTAGCTATTGTCATTCCCATTTTACAGATGAATGAACTGAGGTTCAGGGAGGTCAAGTGTCTTAGCCAGGGCCACAGCCTCACAATGCAACCACAGCCTCACAATGCAACCACCTCTCTCTGTTGAGCTTTTGGTTTCATTGAACTGGGTTTGGCAAACTGAGTGGGAAAGTGTGAGACTCACTGGTCAGGCCAGGTATTAGACTAGGTATGGAAGAGGGAAATTAGGTGGGTGCCAGTTCCTGCAGAATTAACCCACCCCATAAATGGCTGAACTGATTTCTTGCTCTTGGTCAATGTTAGCTGGACATTCCTCACCATTATTATGAAATATCTTTAAAAACAAGAGAGCAGCTCCTATGATGATGTAACCACAAACTAAAAACAAAACACCAGAGGATCCCAAAGACCTTGCTAACTAGAAACTTACCTGGAGTGAAAAAGGTTTCAAGGGATGTCTCCGAGTTTTTAATCTACGAAGGTCACTTTAAATGACATCCCCTATCCCCCCCCCCCCCCCCTCCATGGTATAAAATCCAAGAGATAGCATCTTTGCCTCAGCAGTCCTGGTTCTAGCCCCAATCTCTCCATATCTCCCTGGCCAACACCCTTGCTTCCTTGAGGCATGTCTTTATCTGCCCCCTTATTTTATCTCCCTCTGTTTCCCCCACTCCCCCACCCCCCGGCTTTTCTTCCCCTTCTGTCTGCTCCCAACTGAAACTGATGTGGGGAGGAGGTGGATCAACACCCAGGTACCCAAGTCCACAGGATATTCTCTGCACAGAATGAGAAACACAACCTTGGAAAGACCTTGCTGGGGAAGCCTCCCCCTCCTCACATGAAACAGCACCATTTCCAGTCTGAGAAAATGAACAGTGAGAGCCTCAGTTTATAGCAACCTCCAGATCCACAGCAGATATATTGGCTTACCATATAAAATCCAAACCAGGGCAATTTTGAAAGTGATAAGGCTGCTATTAATAATTATGCCAGGACAGAAGACACAAATGAGGACTGTCACAGTAAACTTGGACACATGATGTCCTTAGAGATAACTCATAGCAAATGATCAGCTTACACTGTCAGCCAAAAATCACAAACTGCCCCAAAAAAAGCTGCATATTTTGTGTGAGCAGAGACCATTGGAGTCAGATGGATGTGACGTGGAACCCCAAACCTAGCATTAACCAGCTGTGTGATCTTAAGCAGGTTACTTTACTTCTCTGAACCTCAGTTTCCTTATCTGCAAAATAGAGGTAGAATTAATTGCTACCTCAGAAGACTTACCAAAGCACTCTGGGATCTGAATCCAGAATATTGAAATTATTATAGAATAGAAACAAAAATGACAAAATGGAGCTCTTTCTTGTTGCTCTGTGATCGCCAGAAAAGTGTCTAGCTAGTGATCCCTGGCTTTGATTACAAGATTAACCAGTTTGAGAATTTGATAAAAGCTCTGGACCTCTCCCCAGGACAGACGTCAAACATTTTGCATGTGTTTTCAGGGGCTTCTTACTCCCATCCCCAAGGTCACCATGAACTAACTCTCCAAGGCAGTGCTGTCCAATAGAAATATAACGTGAGCCACATATATAATTTAAAATTTTCTAGCAACCACTTTAAAAAGGTAAAAAGAAACAAGGAAAATTGACTTTAATAATACATTTTATTTAACCCAGTATAGCAGAAAATTATTTCAACATGTAGTCAATATAAAAAATTTGAAATTTTTTAATACCCTTCTTTTGTACGTAGTCTTCAAATTCCAGTGTGCGTTTTGCATTTACCGCACGTCTCAATTTGCATTAACAACATTTCAGGTGCTCCGTGGCACCTGTGGCTTGTGGCTCCTATATTGGGCAACACAGCTTTGTGGTCATTTCTTAAAGTATGGTGTTCAGACCACCTGCATCTTCTGGTTAAAAGTACAGACCGCCGGGAATTCCCTGGTGGTCCAGTGGTTAGGACTCCACGCTTCTACTGCAGGCGGCATGGGTTTGATCCCTGGTTAGGGAACTAAGATCCCACATGCCTCGCAGCGTGGCCAAAAAAATAAAAAATAAAGGAAGTACAGACTCCTGGACCCCAAGCCCAGAGATTCCAATTCAGCAAATCGGCATTGTATCCAGCACCCCAAGGTGATTTTTGCAAGAATCAAATTTAGTGTGTTATCAAGTGATGTAGGTACTTGAAATGTTTTTAAATCCATTCATTTCTTCCATCTTCTGTTGAAGAAATTAATGAAAAGTAATACCAGGAGATGTGCCTGGAGAGCAAAAGGAGAAGCAAGAGCAGAAGAAAAAAAGGGAAATGGAAGAGATGAAGCAGCCATTCTGGTCTAGATAATCAACAAGCAGAATCACCCAGTCCTTGGGAGTTGGGAGTGAATTATGGCCTTGGGTAACAGGCCAAATTCCCGCCCCTCAATCCAGTGATCCCATTCTGGGAGGGCAGTGGAAGGTGAGTGGAGAAGGGAAATGCTTTTCCCCTGAAATAGCTCTCAGTAACAGGTGAGATTGACCTTGGGGCTCAGAGAAGATGAGGAGTTGGGAGAACATGGGTCTCTCAGAGGAGACAGAAAATTGAGCTGCAGACCGTTGACTGAGTCCAGGTCACAGAGCAGGGCCACGTGGGCCCAGGGTGGAAGGGAGGTTGGCTCAGGGAATTTCCATGGTCAGAGGCCAGGTTACACTGCATTCCCATCCAAAGTAGTCGTGGGAACAGGTTCACTGGGCGGCTGAGGAGAAAAATTAGGGGGTAGATAGAATAAGGCAGTGGTGGGCTAGAGCCCCCCAGCACCAGCACTGGAGAGCAGTTTGCTTATCTCTTCCCAAACTGTGTGGTCAGTGATGTCAGGTCAGTAGCTTGAAACCAGCCACAGTGGGAGTATTTACATCATGGAAATCAGCAAATGCTATAAATCTTTTTTTTCTTTCTTTTTTTTTTTTTTTTGAGAGCTGATCAGCTTCTAAACACACCACTGGGAAAAGTCCCAGCTCCCAGAGGAGAAGCTCCCAATAGACAAGGAAAACAAGCACATTTGAGCCATCTGTCCTTTGTACCCATAAGGGAAAATGAATTTTTAAAAAGTAAAGACATACTGCTTTCTAAAACATTATAGTAATAATTTTAAAAAATTGAAAAAGAGCTTTGCTTCCCTAGGAAAGCAAGTAAATAAGATAAGGGCAACCTTGGCCTTTGGGGTGAAAGTGAGAAAAAAAATAGCCAGGAAAAAGAATGTGACCTCAAGTACCAGAGTTAGAAGAGACACCGGCCAATGTGTGTGTGTGTGTGTGTGTGTGTGTGTGTGTGTGTATGTGAGAGGGACAGAGAGATTTAGGGCAGGGGGTGGTGGTGGGGACATGCCCAGGGCCACATGTCAAATTAAGTAGCACATTCAGACCTGTGGCTCTAAAAGGTTACTTCCCAAATGTAGTTGGTTTGAATCATTTACCTCTCCCCTCCCTCCCTCTGTTCACATCTACCTTCCAGATTTCCTAGATTTGGAATGGCTATCTCAATGTAAGGATCGATTCTGGGAAAGGTATGGAAGGCTTGAGTCTCTGAAAGAGAAAGCCTCCCTCAGACCTTCATCTGTAGCTATGGAAAGTTACAGAACACTAGGCAAATGAACCCAGCAAGGGAATCTTTGGAGTTTCACCTGCTGTTTCTGAGGGTTTTTATTCAGCTTTGGCCTGAAAGCCGATATTCACAGAGTAAGCTCCAGACAACATAATTCCCATCTCATTTTCCTATCATGAGGCTCCAGCTATGCCTGGGGATATATTAGGTATATAGTTCAAACTATCTTGGATTAAATGAAAGGAAGAAGGCTATCTGCTTGGGGCAAAATCCCCATGGGATGTAGCTGTTTTTCTAGCCATAAGAGAAATAAAGTCACCACCAATCTTTTCTATGGCAAAGTGCTTTGCACCTATTTTATTAAATAATAAATTTAATATTGCTAAGGTCAATTACTACTACGGTCTTCCCTTTGCACAAGAGGACATTTGCTCAGAGAGGTTAAGTAATTGGAAGAGCTGGCTTTGAACCCAAGGACTAGGATTGCCCTGGGCAGTCTGGTTACCCTGTGCCCATTCACAGGAAGCCTTACCTGTAATTCTTCCCAGCTGGCCATTGTACATCTTTCCAACAAACCCAGCTACGTGGGCTCCTAGACTTACTCCAATCATGTAAATGTCATCCAGAGAAGCTCCTTCTGCCTGCAATTTCAAGAGGTCCATCGTTATAAATTGTGAGGGGCCAAGGAGTTGACAACATCTGGAGAAATTTCCTAACTGTTGACTTTGGAGAAACATTTCTAGGCACCTTATATCCATTATCTTATTGAAATGTCACAACACCCCGACAAACTAAATGCTATTCCTTTGATTATACAGATAAGGAGACTGAGCCCAGGGTTGAAGTCATCTGCCCAAGGTCAGGCAGGGAGGGCGCAGGGCAGAATTCAAACCGGTCTGTCCAACTCCACACTTATGCCTTCACCTTTATGCCGTGGTGTCTCCATTCATGCTTCTGCTAGAAGCCAAGCTGAGACATCCTTAAAACCTTCCCAACTGAGAAGGGCAACCAAACATTTAATGAACTCCTTTATGTCCATGCTGGCTCAGTTAATGAAGTCATCATGGAGAGGGAAGGAAGGAAAGAAAGGGGCGGGGCACACTGACCATAGTCCTGGGCCAGCCATTCATGAGTCATTTTAATATTCACTTTCCTGAAGTCTGTGGCTTAAGTAGGAAGCTCATGTAAAATTTATGTCACCCCTGGCCACAGTGGCCACCAGGTGTGACTCTCTGAAGTAGTCCTGATGTCAAGTCACTTTTTTTTTTCATAAAAAGGACAGTTCATGAGATAGATTAAATTAAATTTAAGATTTATTTCATCTTTGTAAGTCTTCTGAAAACATAAATCATACACACAAATCATTCATCAACCATGTGTATCAGTTTTGGTTTTGGATAATCTGGTCACTAAACTTTTGGCATTTCTAAGAAAAGGAAGAGCTATAGAAGTTGAGGAAACTCTAGGCATTGAAGCCAGGAAACCCCTAGACAGAACCTCTCATACCCATTAGACACCTTTATGTGAGTTAGAAAAAGCTGACCCTTCCTCAGGACACTTTGCTGTCATTCACTAGAAAATTATCATAATAGACATATAAATCTACAATGTCTACAATGACAATGGTGCTGTCTTAGATGGGTGCCCTGTGCAGTACACAACCTGCACAACCATACACATGGGCGTTGCCTTGGGCCCTTCCCTTCACCTTCCCTGGGGCTTATTCAGATTTGCAAAACACTGCAAAAATAGTCCTTCTGGTCACTGTAGTTATCTCTTGGCTTTAAATATCCAGATATTGAGCCAGTTTCAATTTGACCCTGAATCATCTAAGAGAATTCTCCCTTACCAGCATTTGGTCGATAAATTCCTTCAAGACTATTGCTACTTTTCTGGTCTTTCTAGAGGCATGGTTGTATATTACAGTTGTAGCTCCTTGATTCCAATCAACAACAATCACGTTCATGTCATCTACAGAGAGCAAACCCTCTACTAAGTCCTCCATCCAAACTGGAGGAGAGCCTGTCGGTCTGAATCCATGGACAGTGAAGATGGTTTTCTTGGTCACGTTCAAGTTCCCCAAAACTGTGGAGTTGATGGCTTGTGCGCAGGTCGGGTTTTCCCTTGTGTAGAGCATCAACTTCACATTTAGTCCCGTTCCAACCACTGCACTGTGAAAGCTCAGTTTGGTAAATGAAGGACATGTTTCATCTGTGTCTGAAAATAAAAATTATATGGCATTGTGACGGTTCTTTCCTTAGTTGGGCATCAAGCAAAAGTGCTGTCCTACACACTCTTTGGAGTTCTTTCTATGTGCCTCATGGCACCTAGCAAGAGGCTGGATCTAGTTGAATGAAGTTGCAAAGTCAGACCTGATTCGTAGTACATAAGTAGTAACTTCTTTTTCACTGATAAAACCATTTTTCCAAATCCTACCCTCTTTCAAGATCTAACCCAAAAGTCACCTCAACGAAGCCTTCTCCGACTCTCCCAGCCATAATTACTGTCTGTCCTTCAACCCAGAACTCCCCAAACCCCTCTACGTGCCACATTGACCGCACAATGAAGACATTTTCAGGGATGTATTATGGTTATTTCTGTACGTATGTGTCTATCCCACTAGACCAGTCTCCTTGAAATGGTGTCTTGTAATCTTGTGTATCCCTCACAGTGCCCAGCACATGGTATAGGACTCAATAACAGAATCTGTGGGGTCCAAGCATCTCTTTCCTTGTCTATAGCACCCACCTGGGACGGTGGTAGAGAACATGATGTGCCTTGCCCTGCACCTTTCAGAAACATCTGAAACTGTTAACCATGGTGGCCTTTCTTGGGCTCTCTCTCTCCTTCTTTGCTCAAGCACCACCTTTAAGCATATGTCCTGCTGACCAGGCTCTAAGAATGGAAAGGCTGGGGATGTAATGGGAACAGCTTAAGATGAGCTGAAAGTAAGAGAATGTTTTACGGCAGAAAGTAAGAGAGCGCTTAAAAACATGTTATAGGGACACAGGAAGCAGCTTGAAGGGGCTTCTGCTGGCCAGATCTGGGATAACTTGAGGACAAAATAATTAAGGAGAGTAATGAATGATAGGCCTTTGAAAACCAGGAATCCATGATTCCATAACAAATAAATACATAAATAAACAAAGAAACAATACCTACATGGAGAAGAGAGGAGGACTCTTACAATATAATGCTGAATGCAAACTGATAAATGTGGAATGCATGCTGGAGTTGAAATTCATCATTTTGCAACCATCATAACAAAGATTGGTTAGGCAAGAATCATCAATGGATGCTAAACTGAGGTTGGGGTGGGGATGTGGATCTTGAGGAGAAGCATGATATTTGTACGGTTTTAAAGTGTCTCCCACAGGGACTTCCCTGGTGGTCCAGTGGGTAAGACTCCGTGCTCCCAATGCAGGGGGCCCAGGTTCAGTCCCTTGTCGGGGAACTAGATCCCACATGCATACCACAACTAGGAAGTCCACACGCCACAACTAAAGATCCCACATGCTGCAACTAAGACCCAGCATGACCAAAATAAATAAATATTAAAAAAAAAAATAAAGTGTCTCCCACAGATTGCTCATTAGAGATTAGGGAAGAAACATTAACTGTAAGATTGAGAAAGTGAACAATACCTTGACAAGGTTATCAAACTTGACATCACCAATGAGGAGCAGATGGATATCATGTGCCTATAGCTGTAATGCACTGGGAAGGACACAGCTTCGCCTGTGAAGTGTTCTAGTAGGGAATGCATAGCTGGAATCTAACCATGAGGAAAAATCAGACAAACATAAAATGAGGAATATTCTATTTTTTTAAAAAAGAACCTGTATTCTTTAAAAAAAAAAAAAGTCAATGTCATAAATGACAAAGGAAGACTGGAAACGTTCTACATTAAAGGAGACTAAGGCTTCCTTGGTGGTGCAGTGGTTAAGAATCCGCCTGCCACTGCAAGGGACACGGGTTCGAGCCCTGGTCCAGGAAGATCCCACATGCCGCAGAGCAGCTAAGCCCGCGAACCACAACTACTAAACCTGCGCTCTAGAGCCCGCGCGCTGCAACCACGGAAGCCTGCACGCCTAGAGCCCGTGCTCCGCAACAAGAGAAGCCACCGAAGTGAGAAGCCTGCCCATCGCAGCAAAGAATAGCTTCCGCTCACCACACTAGAGAAAGTCTGCGTGCAGCAACGAAGACCCAACGCAGCTAAAAATAAATGAAAAAAAAAAAAAAGTAAACCTCTGATCGACATTGGTATCCAGACACAATAATATGATGATTGAGAGGACTATTTTTTTAATTATAATAATGATTATTATTTATTATTATAACTATTATTGTGACCCTAACCATGACCATTCTTCAGGAGAGGGAATAGACTGGGAAGACAGTTGACTTGCAACTGGCCCAAAAAAAGACAAGAGTGCCTTGGGAAACATCTGTTCTGACTTCTTCCAATAAGAATTTAGGAACCATTTGCCCTGGGCCCCTATTCTCAGTGAGTCTGCACTTGCACACCCAGGAATTGCTCCTCCCTTATTCTGAGCCTCAGGGTGGCCTTCATCCTGGGGGCTCTGCCTTTCCTTCACAACCTGGGTCCATTCATGGATACTTTTACTTGAAACTTCTTGCAAAGGCTCTGGTACTTAGGAGTGAGTGAACTTCTAAAATAGAATGAGCAAAAGAAGCTCAAATAGAAGGTTAGAAATTAAGGAGGCTTTGAAATGCCTCACCCTAGAAAAGATGTGGCTAAAAATTGAGCCCCAAAGTCATATATTCCTCCTTTTACTCTGTACTATCCAGTAGATTGTGCAGTAAAGCATGCTTACAATGTAAGTACTATCTTTTTTTCCCCAGCTTTATTGAGATATAATTGACAAATAAATTGTGTAAGTTTAAGGGGTACAATGTGATGATTTAATATATATATTAAGAAATGATTACAACAATAATGTTAGTTAACACATTCACCTCACGTAGTTAACTTGTGTGTGTGCGTGTGTGTGTCTGTCTGTGTGTGTGAGAGGAGAACATTTAAGATCTACTGCCTTAGCACATTTCAAATATACAATACAGTATTGTTAACTGTAGTCACCATGCTGTGCATTAGACATCCAGGACTTACTCAGCTATGTAAATATTTTCTCCATCTGTTGGCCCCTTTCATTTTTCTCTTCCTGTAGATCACTTGCCCCAGGTGAACACGGACTGAAACTTATCTGGTGCTTGTAGAGCAAGTCACAGAGTAAATAATTGACTGTTCAATTAGTCATTTTATTGGACAGGAAGAGTCACAGGGTAGGGCTGAGCCTCTGGGTCTCAGCCATCAGTAAAACTGGGTTTTGTTCCTGGTTGTGTGACTGACTCACCAGGTGGCCTGGGGAAATTATGTCATCTTTCACTTGCTACCTACCTGCCCAAGAAAGTTATGCGGCGGAGATTAATTATGAATGAGGTCATACGGGAAAAGATAGAGATCCCTTTCCAAAGAAGGGGACTGCTTAATTACTAGGGTTTGTTCATTTTGAGCCAATTGAGCAATATTATGTCAATGTGTCATAAACCGTGTGTCTGAGTACTTGGAAGGCTCAGAGATGCATCCTGAAGTTTGGGGCCAGAGCTATTTTTCAGCAGAAGCTGCCAACTTTAATGACTATGGAATGGTTCAACCAATCTTTTTGGCTTGCGGAGTCCTTACTAGAAGCCTTTAAAACTGACAGTTACGGAAAAGCAAGAAGGGCAGAACAAATGGATTTTTATTTTTCATTTGATAGAACCACTGTGACTTCAAGTATTTTTAAATGTCTTAGTTATTTTTACAACAGCATTGTGCTCTGGAAAAGGCCATTGCTTTTGCTATGCGGATTCCCCTGTCTCTCTTTTCTTTGTTTTATTCCGTTTATATTTTCTTTCTCATACTGGGATGTTTATAGCCCGCTTTAATTTTTTCTGGCATTGACCTTTATAACTTTATATGAAACACTTAAATCTCTATTTCATGGGATGTCAATGTGTAGCCTGTAGGTCAGAAACAGACTACATGCAGAACTGCTCCAGACTTAGCAATATTTATTCAGATTTATTTATCCTCCAACATGAACTCCTGGCAAGGAGATTTGGGCACCTGGAAACTGTATTTCAGACTGTTGTAGGGCATATTTTTAACTTCTGCCATGTGTCCTGCTGCTGACCTTTGTCAGAACAGTTATCTTTCCTTATTCTGCTCTAGTCCTTGCTTTAGTAACTCGAGACAGTATCTAATGACCCTCTGTTATAAATGATGAGGGCATTAGCATACTCAATACTTCTCCCTTCTACCTCCTGATTTTTATTAGTTATAAAATTACTTTTAGTTCATCTGATAATTCCTATTTTAGTTTAAAAATAAAATTTAAGCCTCTATTTCCTAGTGTATCAATCACAGAGAGCTTCTATTCTATTTACTGTATCTATTCTAGCTCCTCATTCCCTACCAAGAAAGATAAGAAAGTCACTGCACTTGTATTGCCTCCTGTATTGTATATCCTCCTTGACCTCTTCTCCAGAACACACACATACACACACACTGACACAAACACTGTCAAAATACAGTCAATCCTCTTTATTCGTGAATTTCATACTTGTGAATTCACCTACTCGTTGAAATTTATTTGTAACACCCCAAAACAAGAATGTGTCACCCCTGCTCGGCATACTGGTAGTTTGGGTGTGCCTCATCCAAGGGACATCCACTCCACTCCCCAGGAAGGAGGGCCGCCCCTCTCTCCTTTTCCCTTAAGTGGTTTCTCTCCCTCCTCTTCCTCCCTGGTGGCAGGTACATCCTGCCACTTGGGGAGTGGTCAGCAGGGGACCTCTGGTTTGCATTAGGAGGAGAAAACGATTTGACCTCCACTTTTCTCAAATCCAACTATGCCAACAATAAAGCTGATACTTTTAGCCCTGGGTCAAGTTCTCAATTGGTTGAAACCCAGACGGAAGAGGAGTGTGATTGCCACTCAGACCTCAGCAGCAGACTGGGAGCCCTTGAGGGCCACACCTTTCTTATTTTTAATAAATAAAAAAATTACATAATATTTAATACATTAAAAGAAGAATGCGGGATATCTGTGATAAAGCACAGCAATAAACACTCTACCTAAGAACTAAAATAAAACCCAAATGTATTTGTAACCCCCAAAATCAATACTTGAGGGGCTTTTCCAGTTATT